TATCCGTGAGTTATCTTGCTGATATATTTTACTTATTAATAGTATCGGCAACGGGTTTCTCACCTGGAGACGTCTATTAGAAACACTGTAGATTAAGCCACTCTCTTGTTTAGTGGTTGGAAATCCAAAGTTATGAAGAACCCACCTGACAGAACGGATCTTAATTTACGATAGGGAGATGAAACAGTTCATCTGTCTGTCAGTTGAAGTACTTCAATCCCGTCGTATTCAGCGACGGTACACACCGTTTAGTTACATAGGAGGATCGAATTTGCTTTCCATGTATTCGGCAGCCTGTCGAAAATTTAAACTGCCACTGTCCCTCTTTGAAACGCCACTTGTACCTTCCTTCAGTGTTGCTCTACAGCGCAAAAATGTTTTCTGACGAATGGCCGTCAACCACGGCTTAACAGCATATGACAGCCCTGATTTCCGCACTCTGTGAAGAACAAATGGCGGTTTAAAACAAAACAATAATTATCTCTCCGCGAGCATTGTCAATGTCAGTTTAAGATTAGAAAAATGTGAATGGCCCAGTTTGACAAATTCTTTCCGCATGAGCCCTTTATCTCGCGAGGTTTTCATTTTGGACCTTGGAGTCTCAGATTTCGATCAGTACTTCAGTTTGCAATATCTGTGAATAAGATAAAATAGGTATCTGTTTAGAGACAGAATGCTTCGTCTACTATGGTGAAATCGCAGTCTGTAGTATAGGTTTTGAGAAGATGAAATGCAGCCGACATTACGCATCAGAGACATCCTGCTACAGCAAACAACTTGTGGTGATGATCACATGACACGGCAAGCTTTACCTTAAATGTTAGATTTATGAAATTAAGTAGGTTTAATTAATTCTTTGTTTTCCTATTCTTTCAGCTTTGATGAAACGTGAATGTAAAAATCTGTTTTAGGTAAGTTGGCGCCATCACAGAATATATTTAGCTCTAAGGAACAAGAATACGACATGAGACGAAATTGTTTGAAACGTCTGTCATTTATTTTGCTCAGCGGGGAAGTCGACGAGTATCAAGCAGCGCTACCAGACATTCAAGGTATGATTGATAATACACTGCAATTATATGTATTAATTTTTTGAACTATGACAGCGAGTTATTTTCAGTTTTCATTATATCAACAAGCAGTTATTTTTCCGACTTTATGCTTTAGAGTTATGCTGAGCATCTTCTACATATTCAGGTTCTTTTTGAGCTCTATAATTCTTAATTTGTGTCTTGATCGTGAGGAGCCGTCATTAGCCAAACATAAAATGCCTGCACGAAGTACAATGAAGTATATTCTCTCTGATCGCTGTGGTGACGGCAAAGACTCGTCGCGAATCCCACAACGGATGTATAATAAGGCAGTGGTATTCTGTTATGATGTCTCTACCTCTGCTTAAAAAGCAATTATGGATAGTAGAACGATATTCAGGCTTCAAGTGCGAAAGAAGCGCTTAAGGATCGCTGTCTGTATTCATCCCTGATGAAAGCATAACATTTTCATCATTCCGTTGGCCTTTGTCTCAGAAAATAACGTCGATGAATGTATGAATACAAATTTTGTGACCTACAAGTAACGCCTTACTAAATGATGAAAACCGAAACATCTACCAGAAATATGTTGGCTGCTTCTGTTTCGACAAAATGGCATCCAATTTTAAAATTTTCAAAGTTATCCCTTCAAATGTCGATAAATGTAATATGGACATAGGTTGACAGAATCCAAAA